GACAGCACACATTCCTCATATGGCTTGTTCACCCTCCTCCCTTTAGTTGCCCTCCTCCCACCCTTACGCTTTCTCTCCCCGCTCCTCTTCCTGTTCTCCTTCCCCTTCCACTCACCTGTGGTGGTCATCCCCACAATCTTGGCCTTCTTCAGAATGCAGAGATCTTCCTGGAGGCGCAGCTCGGCCAGACGATCGGCTGCTTCTTGGTACTTTTCCTCGTGCCTCAAGATCGTGCGCCGGATCTCTACCTGGTACTTCTGCACCCAATGCCTGTTACGGGGGAAGCAGGTGTCAGAGCATTGGTGCGGGGGCTGGAACCCCCTCCCCCCCATGTCCTGGGAGCAGGGCTACCTGTAGAGGTTCCAGCGAGAGGCCAAGGGCAGGCGCCAGACGTCCCAAACGGCCTCCGCCTCCTCCGCGCTCATCCGCACCGGCTTCTGCAGCTCCTTCTTCGCCCGCTGCTTCTGTTTCTTTTTCTGGTCGCGCGTGATCTGGAGCAAGAAGGGCCACACAAGTGGATGAGCGTCGGGGGCAAAGGCAAGAACGAAGGCTCACTCATAGAATCATAACATTGGATGAGACCACAGAGGCCGTCCAGTCCTACCGCCTTCTGCCCTGCAGGAAAAGCAAAACCTCCTTCCTGTCTTGGAAGCAAAGACACATCAACACTTGTATATATATTGTTGAATGCTTTCATGGCCGGAATCACTGGGTTGTTGTAGGTTTTTTCGGGCTATATGGCCATGGTCTAGAGGCATTCTCTCCTGACGTTTCGCCTGCATCTATGGCAAGCATCCTCAGAGGTAGTGCGGTCTGTTGGAACTAGGAAAAAGGGTTTATATATCTGTGGAATGACCAGGGTGGGACAAAGGTTGGGGGATGCCTGGCTCGAGAGCAGTACGTGTGAAAAAGATCTTGGAGTCCTCGTGGACAACAAGTTAAACATGAGCCAAAAATGTGATGTGGCGGCAAAAAAAGCCAATGGGATTTTGGCCTGCATCAATAGGAGCATAGTGTCTAGATCTAAGGAAGTAATGCTACCCCTCTATTCTGCTTTGGTTAGACCACATCTGGAATATTGTGTCCAATTCTGGGCACCACAATTCAAGAGAGATATTGACAAGCTGGAATGTGTCCAGAGGAGGGCGACTAAAATGATCAAGGGTCTGGAGAACAAGCCCTATGAGGAGCGGCTCAGGGAACTGGGCATGTTTAGCCTGAAGAAGAGAAGGCTGAGAGGAGATATGATAGCCATGTATAAATATGTGAGAGGAAGCCACAGGGAGGAGGAGGGAGCAAGCTTGCTTTCTGCTTCCTTGGAGACTAGACGTGGAACAATGGCTTCAAACTACAAGAGAGGAGATTCCATCTGAACACGAGGAAGAACTTCCTGACTGTGAGAGCCGTTCAGCAGTGGAACTCTCTGCCCGAGTGTGGTGGAGGCTCCTTCTTTGGAAGTTTTTAAACAGAGGCTGGATGGCCATCTGTCAGGGGTGATTTGAATGCAGTATTCCTGGTTCTTGTCAGGGGGTTGGACTGGATGGCCCATGAGGTCTCTTCAAACTCTTTGATTCTATGATTCTTATAGAGAAGTTGCATGTATGTTGTTGCATTCAGGCTTTGGATCTTATACCCTGGTCATTCCACAGATATATAAACCCTTTTTCCTAGTTCCAACAGACCTCACTACCTCTGAGGATGCTTGCCATAGATGCAGGCGAAACGTCAGGAGAAATGCCTCTAGAACATGGCCATATAGCCTGAAAAAACCTACAACAACCCAACACAGGGTAAGTTGAGGCCGGGTGATGTGATGATGCATGGCGAATTGGAGGATTCTGGAGAGAGCTCTGAATATTGTAAATAGCTGTTGGAGTTCAGCCTGTGATTGTGTCTAATGATCAGGGTACTCTGGATGTTGGGAATGACAATGAGGTTCATGTGTCTAATGATGAGGTTTCTCTAGGTGCAGAGAATGATGATGGGAATGTCCCTGAAGGATTTGGGGGTGATGGTATGATCCCTGGAAGAGGGCCTGAATTACGACCAGAAAATTCCCATGACTTTCAGCCTGAGAATAGCTCGGCACCTGGGCTAGCTGCAGAAATTAACGAGCCAGTAGATAGAAGGCATATTTTTAGTCAGCACAGGCAAACAACCCAATCTCTTAGGCGTTCTGCCAGGATGAGGGAGAGATTGATAACAGAGTCAAGGCTGAAACGAAATCCGTTCTTGGCCGCTTGGGACAATGAGCAGATTAGGGGATAAAAGTGCCAAGTACAGAATCTGTCGTTTAGACGAAGCAACGTTGAAATTGAATCAAGACATCTTTCCTGGTTCTTGGAAGCCTTGCCTTGGATAGACTCATGTGTTAAGTGCCTTTTTGATTCATGATTCAAGCTTTGGAGTTTTGCCTTGGAAGTTTCTGTATTTGTTTTTCATGAACTCTGATGGACTTATTTCCTGGACTATTTGATCCTGATTATCTTTCTACCCAATTGGATTTACCTATTTTTAAGGAGTGTTTTTTTTTTTTTTTTTGCTGCTACTGCTTTTTAAATATCTTCAATAAACTACTTGCATTTCTACTCAGCTGTGTGATGTTTAAAGTCAGAGGGCTTTCCTGGCCTGGAGTGCAACAATAACTGCAACAAAAAGTAAAGCCTTCCTATGGAAAGAAGCTCCTGCGCCTCGTCAATTGCAAGTATTGCTCACATACTATAGGCCAGGCATGGGCAAGCCTTGGCCCTCCCTCCAGGAGTTGTGGACTTCAACTCCCACCATTCCTAACAGCCTCAGGCCCTTTCCTTTTCTGCTTAAGCGGCTAAGGGAGAAAAGGAAGGGGCCTGAGGCTGTTAAGAATGGTGGGAGTTGAAGTCCAAAACACCTGGAGGGAGGACCCAAGCTGGCCCATGCCTGAAGTATTTTAATATTGCTTGGAGGTTTGAGCAGAAAACCTTTGCTTCAGGTTGAATAACAGAATACCTGACATAAAGTAGACTGGCTATGCCGCGCTCTGATAGAGATGTCCAGCGTGCCCGCGATGCCCTACCTGCCATTGGCCCTCCTTTTCCGGCCCCTCCTTCTCCTTGTCCTCCAGCGACATAGCCAGGAAGAGGTCACCTAGCTGAGCTGCATTTCTTTGGGTCTGGCGCCTGCGGGGCCGCTCTACGTCATCACTGTCCAGGGTGCGCTCGGCCTGAAACAGGGCTGCTTCCTCCGCGATGGCCAGCTGGTCCTCCTCTGTGTCCTCCTCTTCCTCTTTATTTTCCTCCTCTTCTGGAGCTTCTGTGATTTCCGGGAAGGCTGTGGTTAGCACTACAACTGGAGGGCGGGGGGTGGGGGGGTGGGGGGAGACCCTCCTCCACTCCCTCCCTCCTCACCACACGTGCAATGAGATGGGATTGTCCTACCTGGAGGGTTGGCTCCGTCCGGATCATTGGGTGCGTTGCGAGCGAAAGGCATGGCGCCGAGGCCCAGCCACTCCAGGATGAGAGAGCCCTTGGGGTTCATCCATTCTCCGCGCTGAAGAAAGAGGGGTGCTCAGTCCAGGTTGAGGAGGGAGAAGCCCCAGATCAGGAGCCACCCCTCCCCATGGAACTCCATGTTTGCTCCCCAGTTGGGGCTGAGCACCAGAGAAGCTGTGGGCAGGGCTGTAGCCAGAAAAAAATTTCGGGGAGGGTTGAAAATTTCGGGGGGGGGGAGTTTTGAAAATTTGGGGGGGGGGGGGGAAAAATTTGGGGGGGGTTGCCTCCTAGCTTACGCTGAAGCAAAGAGCACAGCAGGGGCAGAGCAGCCTTCAATAGCCTGCAGCTCCGCCCCTGTCAACCACCTCCACAAGTCTGGCCTCCTTAATGAGAGCATTCAACCCCCCCCCCAAAATGAAGTTAAAATTCATGAGTAAACCAGGGTTTTTTTTTAACCTGAAAAATTTCGGGGGGGGGGGGGTTGAACCCCTACCCCCCCCCCTTGCTACAGACCTGGCTGTGGGGGTGGCCTGGTGTGAGGGTGGGGGACAGTCTATTCCTTTTAGGGCGCTGGACACCCCACAGTCCCCTTTGGAGCCCCTCCTTACCCATCCCTGATTCAGGCTGTTAAATCCTGCCTCTTAGCTCACGCTGAAGCAAAGAACACAGCAGGGGCAGAGCAGCCTTCAATAGCCTGCAGCTCCGCCCCTGTCAACCACCTCCACCAAGTCTGGCCTCCTTAATGAGAGCATTCAACACCCCCCCCCCCCAAACTTGGTTGCTTCACTACATCGGCTATTGCTGCAAAAATTTCGGGGGGTTGAACCCCTAACCCCCCCCCCTTGCTACAGACCTGGCTGTGGGGGTGGCCTGGTGTGAGGGTGGGGGGACAGTCTATTCCCTTTATGGCGCTGGACACCCCGCAGTCCCCTTTGGGGCTCCTCCTTACCCATCCCCGATTCAGGCTGTTCCTGCCTCCTAGTTCACGCTGAAGCAAAGAGCACAGCAGGGGCAGAGCAGCCTTCAATAGCCTGCAGCTCTGCCCCTGTCAACCACCTCCACCAAGTCTGGCCTCCTTAATGAGAGCATTCAACACCCCCCCCCCCCCCCCCCCCCTGAGTTAAAATTAATGAGTAAACCAGGTTTTTTTTAACCTGAAAAATTTCAGGGGGGGTTGAACCCCTAACCCCCCCCCCTTGCTACAGGCCTGGCTGTGGGGGTGGCCTGGTGTGAGGGTGGGGGGACAGTCTATTCCCTTTATGGCGCTGGACACCCCGCAGTCCCCTTTGGGGCTCCTCCTTACCCATCCCCGATTCAGGCTGTTCCAGTGGCGGCTGTCTATATGGCTCCGCAGGTGCCTTTCGTGCAGGACTCCACGCAGGCCGCACTCCAGGGCAGCCGCCTGCCTGTCCAGTTCTTCCTCGGCTTCCTTCATCTCGCTGGACACCTGTCCCGAGAGAGAAGAGGTCAGCGTGTCTCTCTTTGAAGCCTGGCAGCGCAGACCCCAAGAACAGTGGTCAGTTCAAGGGGCTGGCTGCTCCCGGCCATCCCCACAAAGCCCCCCACCACCAAAAAAAAACACCCACGTTGAAGTGGCCTGTGCGGAGGTGGCTAGGCAAGTCTCTTAGAAATCTGTCTCTGCTCCGGAGCTCCCGCAGCGTGAACTCCTTCAGGACCACACTGCTGCTCCTCCCTCCGACACGCACGATCCCTTGCTTCTGGAAGGTGTGGATCCCTGGGAGGAGGAAAGAGTGGGGCTGAATGTGGGAATCTTCTCCCCAATAATGATGGGGAGGGGCACCCAACCCATAGCTGCGGGTGCGGAGATGGGCGTTCAGAGGCCCGCACCTTCCAGGAACTGGTCCAGAGCGTGGTTGGTGTAGCAGACCACCAGGATGGGTGAGGACTGGGTCTGGTCAGTGGCTTCATTGGCCAGCAAGGCACGCACAATCTTCAGTCCCACGTAGGTCTTCCCTGCCGAGGGAGAGAGAAGACCCGTCATTCCCATTTGGACACAGAGGCTGCTGGGGGGGGGGGGTGTTCTTAGGGGGAGGACAGAGTTGGGTTTCATCCCTGGACTGCACAAGTTTCTCACGTCATTAAGTTTCTAGGCCTCAACGAGTAGCTAAGCTAGAGACAGAGCCAGGTTGAGGGATTCCTCACCTGGCATTCCTATGCATGTTTTCCCAAAAAGGGCTTTGTCTTTACTTCTCCTGCTAGCCACTGTCTCCTCCCCCTTTGATGATATAGTAATGGAATTCTGTGAGGGAACTCCCTCTTTAAGTTTAACTGCCCTGGGATGACCATGTGGGCTTTGCCGTTTTCCAGTCTCTTCTGCCTTTTCTTCCTTCCAATGAGGACGTATTTTGCCTCCCTCTAGGCAAAATGTAGCTGCATGGACTATTTGCCTTTTGTCTCCTTTGGAAGATGGGACTTCGTAAGCCAGTGAGCTCCAAGAGTTTTTCTATCAGGAATGTATTTCTTTTACTTCAATGAAAGGCATGGCCCGACTTACCGGGCCAAAGATGTTGCGGTGCAGGGTGTCCCCCTCCGCCATTCTTGCCTGAGGGGGGGGGGCTCTCCCTTTTTGTGGGCAGCCTTCATAAGGCTGCCCAAGGCTCCCCAGCAGGCATGCGGCCTGCAACAGCTGATCCATCCCACCCACCCTGCATGCGGTTTATGGTTTCATTGGCAGTTAATTTTGTTGGTGTTTACCTTGTCATGGTTACCTGTTAACAGTTACTTGTTTGTGTTATGCTCCTTGTCACAACTCCTTGTTGGCGTGGGGCATGGGCCCTGGATCTGGTTTGGTATCCCCCCTAGCGGTTAGGGGGGACGCCCGGTGGTCCCAGGGGTGCCGAGTTGCGTTTGCCCGGTATTGTGCCGGTGGCACCCTGGTGTGTGCGGGATCGGGCAGTATTGAGCTGCCCGATCATGATCCAGGACCCATGCTTGGCTGCCAACCCTTGTTCCTGTTATCAATAAATGAGTTGTGGCCATTGTTCATCCCACATCATGTGTGAGCGTACTTCTTGGGTTGGCTGTGGGAGGTGTAAATGTTTTTGAACCTAAAGTTCTGAGTCTGCAATCCTAAGCCATCCTAAGATATCCCAGTTCACCATACATAAGTTTCTGCTGGTTATGAAGTGTACTTTCATGTGCTTTTTCACTCTTCTTTGGAGAAGGGAGCATCATGAGGACTGACACACAGGCATATGGGTCAGCATCAGGGACCCTTGCGTCATAGCAAGGCGACATCTCCTCCTGGGTAAGCCCCATGCAGGGTGCTGAAGGACCAGGACCCCCTCTTCAGAAGAGCCTCTGCAATGTCTCTCAACTGAGTGAGTTTGGGGTGTGTGTGTGCTGGAATTGAAGAAGCACCAACCCTTGTATCTAGAGAGCAACTTGGGACAGGGGGAACCTGTTGGGATATGGCCTGCTGACTTGTGTTTTCTCCTCTGTTCCTTAGACCTATGCACTTCCCTGTGTGTTTGCATGCAGAGGCCACTTCCCCTTCCCTCTGAACCCAAGTTCAGTGTGCTTTTTCACCCTTCTTTGGAGAAGGGAGCATCATGAGGCCTGACACACAGGCATAAGGGTCAGCATAAAGGTTAGCAAGGCAACATCTCCTGCTAGGTAAGCCCCATGCAAGGTGCTGAAGGACCAGGACCCTCCCTCCCAGAAGAGCCTCTGCTCCGCCCATGAGCCCCCACTCACCTGTCCCCGGGGGCCCCTGGATGATGGCCAACTCCTTGGTGAGCGCCAAGCGCAGAGCCTCCCGCTGCGACTCATCCAGCCCCAGGTCCTCCTTGCTGGGCCACTGCTGCGGGTCCAGGATGTCGACTGAGGGACCTGTCTCTCTGGGAGGCAGACGAGTGCGCTGAGGAATAGCTGCTTGGATTTGTCTCCGAAGACGGAGTACGGTGTCCCGACGTCGATGCCGGAGACCCAATGGATCAGGGTCATCGTAAATGTCTTCCTCCTCCTCCTCCTTGGACAGCTCCTCCATAGGTGGCTCCTCTGTGGGTGTCTTCTGCACCAGGCAGGCAAAGTCGTAGAGGCGCCTGGGGCCCTCAAGGTAGGCGGGGGCGCTGACGTCGGTCTCACACCGGACCAGGTACCTCTGGAAGGGGAGCTCCTCCGGCCGCGCCTCCTGCAACCCTTGCAGGACGTGGCGGTAGGCCTCGAAGTAGGCTGCGGTCTCCACCATGAGGAAGGAGTCCGAGGGCTGCGTCTGGGCCAGGAGTGGCCGGCTGCTTTCGCAGAAGGAGAGCCACACCGAGCCCTTCCCGAGCTCCTTGGGGTCCCGGTGTGCCACGGTGGCAAAGAGGAAGCTCTCGAAGCCGTCCTTGGAGAGGCAGACCAGGGAGCCGAAAATCAGCCGCTTGGAGTTCTCCCACCGGACGGAGCGCAGCGGTCGGGTGTCGAACTGCGCTCGGTATTCGATGCCGGAGGACGCGCACTGCGGAGCCACGACCCGGACATTGAAGTAGACCCGGATGTCATCGAACTTCTTCTTCCTCAAGCCACTCTCCTCGGCGTCACGGAGGATCTGGGCGATGCCTTCCCTCATGGGCCGGATGAAGTCCTCCCGCAGCAGCCGGAAGTGGGTCTCCAAGTAGAGCGCGGCCCCCTCGTAGGGCTGGCGGAGGGTGTTGGGCCGCAGGAAAGGCCGCTCCACCTGGCGCAGCTCCTCGTAGGTGGGAAAAATGGACAGCGCCCGGTAGTCGTCCACTTCGCCCTCCGCCTCGCCTGTGGCCCCCATCCGCACTGGGCTGTCCACCTTCAGAGTGCCCTCCCGGCGCCGCTCCTGCAGGTGCTGGACGTAGGCCTGGACCCGCTCCAGCTGCTTCTCGGTCTCCTCTGGGAAGTCCACCCCAGAGGCCTGGAGGGCATTGATGGCGGACGGCAGGAGGGACATCAACATGGCCACTGACTGGATGGCACTGGCCGGGAAGACACTGGCCAGCTCTTGCACCAGAGCCAAGATGTCGCCCACATGTTGTGGGTACCGGTGTCGCACGGTCGGGATGGCCTCGGTCAGCATCCCCGCCACGTACTGGGGGAGGCACTGGCGAAGGAAGGCCGACTCCTTGACCAGTCCCAGCAGCCGCTGGATGCTCTGCCGGTCAGTGCGCGAGGAACAAGCCTTGCGGAGGGCCTGCAGGAGCAGCTCCAGGAAGTGTGGCCGGAGCACGGCCTGGGAGAGCGCCTCCTCCACGCCCCTGCTGGACGCCAGCGTGATGGCCACCTCCGACGGCTCCTTCTCCAGCAGCTCCTCCAGGAAGAAGGCCCCGATCGGCTGCGTGGGGCGCTGGGGGCTGTTCCGGTCTGAGCCGCCACCCCTCCTTGCCCCTCTCGGTCCACGGAGCGGGGGGCGTCCCCTTTGGGCCCCAGGACCCCCTCTGGTCTGGAAGCCCCCCGTAAACCGAGCTGGAGCCGAGCCACCTGGAGTAAATACAGGAATAGCAGAATCATAGAATCCTAGAGTTGGAAGAGGCCTCCTGGGCCATCATCCAGTCCAACCCCATTCTGGCAAGAAGCAGGAATATTGCAGTCATAGAGAGGAGGGAGCAAGCTTCTTTTTTGCTGCCTTGGAGACTAGGACCTGCATCAATAAGAGCATACTATCTAGATCTAAGGAAGTAATGCTACCCCTCTATTCCTCTTGGTTAGACCACACCTGGAATATTGTGTCCAATTCTGGGCACCACAATTCAAGAGAGATATTGAGAAGCTGGAATGTGTCCAGAGGAGGGCGACTAAAATGATCAAGGGTCTGGAGAACAAGCCCTATGAGGAGCGGCTTAAGGAGCTGGGCATGTTTAGCCTGAAGAAGAGAAGGCTGAGAGGAGACATGATAGCCATGTATAAATATGGGAGAGGAAGTCATAGGGAGGAGGGAGCAAGCTTGTTTTCTGCTGCCCTGGAGACTAGGACGGGGAACAATGGCTTCAAACTACAAGAAAGGAGATTCCATCTGAACATGAGGAAGAACTTCCTGACTGTGAGAGCTGTTCAGCAGTGGAACTCTCTGCCCTGGCGTGTGGTGGAGGCTCCTTCTTTGGAAGCTTTTAAACAGAGCTGGATGGCCATCTGTCAGGGGTGATTTGAATGCAATATTCCTGCTTCTTGGCAGAATGGGGTTGGACTGGATGGCCCAGAGGTCTCTTCCAACTTTTTGATTCTATGATTCTAGGACGCAATGGAGCAATGGCTTCAAAATACAAGAAAGGAGATTCCACCTGAACATTAGGAAGAGCTTCCTAACTGTGAGAGCCGTTCAGCAGTGGAACTCTCTGCCCCGGCGTGTGGTGGAGGCTCCTTCTTCATAGAATCATAGAATCCAAGAGTTGGAAGAGACCTCCTGGGCCATCATCCAGTCCAACCCCATTCTGCCAAGAAGCAGGAATATTGCATTCAAAGCACCCCTGACAGATGGCCATCCAGCCTCTGCTTAAAAGCTTCCAAAGAAGGAGCCTCCACCACACTCCGGGGCAGAGAGTTCCACTGCTGAACGGCTCTCACACAGGAAGTTCTTCCTCATGTTCATGTGGAATCTCCTCTCTTGCACTTTAAAGCCATTGTTCCATTGCGTCCTAGTCTCCAGGGAAGCAGAAAACAAGCTTGCTCCCTCCTCCCTGTGGCTTCCTCACATATTTATACATGGCCCTCATCATGTCTCCTCTCAGCCTTCTCTTCTTCAGGCGAAACATTCCCAGCTCTTTAAACCACTCCTCATAGGGCTTGTTCTCCAGACGCTTGATCATTTTAGTCGCCCTCCTCTGGACACATTCCAGCTTGTCAATATCTCTCTTGAATTGTGGTGCCCAGAATTGGACACAATATTCCAGGTGTGGTCTAACCAAAGCGGAATAGAGCATGGGGAGCATGACTTCCCTGGAGAGGGAGGGAAGGAAGGAAGGAGAAAGAGGGCAGGCCCTCACCAGAGCGGTACCTATTGATCTACTCACATTTGCATATTTTTGAACTGTTAGGTTGGCAGAAGCTGGGGCTAACAGCGGGAGCTCACCCCGCTCCCCGCATTCGAACCTGTGACCTTCCAATCAACAAGTTCAGCAGCTCAGCGGTTTAACCCATATGGTAGTGTAGACTCCTATAATCCAGTTCAAAGCAGGTCATGTGGATTACCGGATAATCTGGGTTGAGTCTACCTTGAGTCTACACTGCCCTGTAATCCAGCTCAAAGCAGAGAATCTGGACTGTACATGGCAGTGTAGACAGGACTAGAAGAGCCCTCCCTTGGCAGCTCCCTCAAAGGGAGGCCCGGAGAGGGAACTGTGGGACCTTGAAAGGGAAAGTGACCATTGGGTGGCTGACCTCATCCCTCCCTCCTTCCCTGCCGTCAGTCTGCTTTGGGTTTTGGCCTCACTGCCCAGAGAAGGGTGGTGGTTGGGTTCTGGAGCTGCCCATTGGTGAGGAGGCAGGCAGTGGACCTCTGTGTGTGTGGCTTTTCTTCTGTGTTGTGGTACCAGGAAGTCAGTGCTAGACAACTTTGGGGAAAGTCTACCTAGGCTGGTTAGGCCAATCCTGAGCAGAACTGGACCAAAGAGGCCCTTCTGGGCACCACAACTTAAGGGAGATGTTGACTCTAAGCTGGAAGGTGTCCAGAGGAGGGTGACTCAAAGAATCAATCGTCTGGAGAACAAGCCCAATGAGGAGTGGCTGAAAGAGCTGGGTATGTTTAGCCTGAAGAAGCGAAGGCTGAGAGGAGACATGATGAGGGCCAGGTATAAATATGTGAGAGGAAGCCACAGGGAGGAGGAGGGAGCAAGCTTCCTTTCTGCTTCCCTGGAGACTAGGACGCAAGGGAACAATGGCTTCAAACGACAGGAAAGGAGATTTCATCTGAACATGAGGAAAAACTTCCTGACTGTGAGAGCCGTTCAGCAGTGGAACTCTCTGCTCTGGAGTGTGGCGGAGGCTCCTGGATGGCCATCTCTTGGGAGTGCTTTGAATACAAGAAAGGAGATTCCACCTGAACATAAGAAGTTCCTGACTGTGAGAGCTGTTCATCAGTGGAACTCTCTGCTCCGGAGAGTGGTGAAGGCTCCTTCTTTGGAGGCTTTGAAACAGAGGCTGGATGGCCATCTGTTAGGGGTGCTTTGAATGCGATTGTCCTGCTTCTTGGCAGAATGGGGTTGGACTGGATGACCCACGAGGTCTCTTCCAACTCTAGGATTTTGGGTGGACATTAAAAACACACACACCCCTTAAGGATGTACTTTACTTCCCATGGTTGTCATCCCTTCAAAAAGCTATGAAGTTGAAGCAAACGTAGAGAACAGGCCTGGGCCAAATTCTGCCCTTCCTCCAGGTGTTTTGGACTCCAACTTGAATCCAAAACACCTGGAGGGACAGTCTATATCCAGAAGATGGAGAGATATCTCTGTCTATAATCTGTCTATACACACATACATACAGTAGATGTCACATTTGCATAATCAATACTTCATCCTTCAAGGATCAGCCTGTGTGTGGTTTGAGGGGCTCCCTAGAGGATGGGAAAATTTGGAAGGGGTCTCTGAAGGGGTCTCTGAAGGCCATCCAGTCCAACCTCATGTTGTCCTGTAGGGCGGCACCATCAAAGCCCTCCTGGCAGACGGCCACCCAGCTGCTAACCCAGGCCAGGACCAACTTCAGTTCTCCCTCTGGGTGTTTTGGACTGCAACTCCCACCCTTCCTGATTTATTATTTATTTAATTATTTATTGATTATGGGTGGGAAAATTCGGAAGGGGTCTCTGAAGGCCATCCAGTCCAACCTCATGTTGTCCTGTAGGGCGGCACCATCAAAGCCCTCCTGGCAGATGGCCGCCCAGCTGCTAACACAGGCCTGGGCCAACCTCAGCCCTCCCTCCGGGTGTTTTGGACTGCAACTCCCACCCTTCCTGATTTATTATTTATTTAATTATAATTATTTCTTGATTATGGATGGGAAGATCCAGAAGGGGTCTCTGAAGGTCATCCAGCCCAACCCCATGCTGTCCTGCAGGGCGGCACCATCAAAGCCCTCCCGGCAGACGGCCGCCCAGTTGCTAACACATGCCTGGGCCAACTTGGGCCCTCCCTCCGGGTGTTTTGGACTGGACTGGATGACCTTCAGAGACCCCTTCCAAATCTTCCCATCCATAATCAATTAATCAATAAATAATAAATCAGGAAGGGTGGGAGTTGCAGTCCAAAACACCTGGAGGGCCCAAGTTGGACCAGGCCTGTGTTAGCAACTGGGTGGCCATCTGCCGGGAGGGCTTTGATGGTGCCGCCCTGCAGGACTGCATGACTTTCCTCTTATAACTGAGTGAAGGGATGGATGGGAAGATTCGGAAGGGGTTTCTGAAGGTCATCCAGTCCAACCTCATGTTGTAGGGCAGCACCACCAAAGCCCTCCTGGCAGACAGTCGCCCAGCTGCTAACACAGGCATGGGCCAACTTGGGCCCTCCCTCCGGGTGGACTGCAACTCCCACCATTCCTCACAGCCAGGCATGGGCCAACTTGGGCGGGAGTTGCAGTCCAAAACACCTGGAGGGAGGGCCAAAGTTGGCCCATGCCTGAACTAATAGTTCCTCTTAGAACTGAGTGAATGGATGGATGAGAAGATTCAGAAGGGGTCTCTGAAGGTCACCCAGTCCAACCTCATGTTGTCCTGTAGGGCGGCACCACCAAAGCCCTCCCGGCAGACGGCCACCCAGCTGCTAACACAGGCCTGGGCCAACTTGGGCCCTCCCTCCGGGTGTTTTGGACTGCAACTCCCACCATTCCTCACAGCCGGATCTAATAGCTCCTCTGAATCAACGGATAGATGGGAAGATTTGGAAGGGGTCTCTGAAGGCCATCCAATCCAACCTCATGCTGTCCTGTAAGGCGGTACAATCAAAGCCCTCCCGGCAGATGGCCACCCAGCCTCTAACAGCCGGTAGGCTGTTAGGAATGGTGGGAGTTGTAGTCCAAAACTCCCGGAGGGAGGGCCAAAGTTGGCCCAGGCCTGAACTAATAGTTCCTCTTAGAAGTGAGTGAATGGATGGATGGAAGGGAAGATTTGGAAGGGTCTCTCAAGGCCATCCAGTCCAACCCCATGTTGCCCTGTAGGGCGGCACCATCAAAACCCTCCCGGCAGACGGCCGCCCAGCAGCTAACACAGGCCTGGGCCAACTTGGGCCCTCCCTCCGGGGGTTTTGGACTGCAACTCCCACCATTCCTCACAGCCAGGCATGGGCCAACTTGGGCTCTCCCTCCGGGGGTTTTGGACTGCAACTCCCACCATTCCTCACAGCCAGGCATGGGCCAACTTGGGCCCTCCCTCCGGGGGTTTTGGACTGCAACTCCCACCATTCCTCACAGCCAGGCATGGGCCAACTTGGGCTCTCCCTCCGGGGGTTTTGGACTGCAACTCCCACCATTCCTCACAGCCAGGCATGGGCCAACTTGGGCCCTCCCTCCGGGGGTTTTGGACTGCAACTCCCACCATTCCTCACAGCCAGGCATGGGCCAACTTGGGCCCTCCCTCCGGGGGTTTTGGACTGCAACTCCCACCATTCCTCACAGCCAGGCATGGGCCAACTTGGGCCCTCCCTCCGGGGGTTTTGGACTGCAACTCCCACCATTCCTCACAGCCAGGCATGGGCCAACTTGGGCCCTCCCTCCGGGGGTTTTGGACTGCAACTCCCACCATTCCTCACAGCCAGGCATGGGCCAACTTGGGCCCTCCCTCCGGGGGTTTTGGACTGCAACTCCCACCATTCCTCACAGCCAGGCATGGGCCAACTTGGGCCCTCCCTCCGGGGGTTTTGGACTGCAACTCCCACCATTCCTCACAGCCAGGCATGGGCCAACTTGGGCCCTCCCTCCGGGGGTTTTGGACTGCAACTCCCACCATTCCTCACAGCCAGGCATGGGCCAACTTGGGCTCCCTCCGGGGGTTTTGGACTGCAACTCCCACCATTCCTCACAGCCAGGCATGGGCCAACTTGGGCCCTCCCTCCGGGGGTTTTGGACTGCAACTCCCACCATTCCTCACAGCCAGGCATGGGCCAACTTGGGCCCTCCCTCCGGGGGTTTTGGACCGCAACTCCCACCATTCCTCACAGCCAGGCATGGGCCAACTTGGGCCCTCCCTCCGGGGGTTTTGGACCGCAACTCCCACCATTCCTCACAGCCAGGCATGGGCCAACTTGGGCCCTCCCTCCGGGGGTTTTGGACCGCAACTCCCACCATTCCTCACAGCCAGGCATGGGCCAACTTGGGCCCTCCCTCCGGGGGTTTTGGACTGCAACTCCCACCATTCCTCACAGCCAGGCATGGGCCAACTTGGGCCCTCCCTCCGGGGGTTTTGGACTGCAACTCCCACCATTCCTCACAGCCAGGCATGGGCCAACTTGGGCCCTCCCTCCGGGGGTTTTGGACTGCAACTCCCACCATTCCTCACAGCCAGGCATGGGCCAACTTGGGCCCTCCCTCCGGGGGTTTTGGACTGCAACTCCCACCATTCCTAACAGCCAGGCATGGGCCAACTTGGGCCCTCCCTCCGGGGGTTTTGGACTGCAACTCCCACCATTCCTCACAGCCAGGCATGGGCCAACTTGGGCCCTCCCTCCGGGGGTTTTGGACCGCAACTCCCACCATTCCTCACAGCCAGGCATGGGCCAACTTGGGCCCTCCCTCCGGGGGTTTTGGACCGCAACTCCCACCATTCCTCACAGCCAGGCATGGGCCAACTTGGGCCCTCCCTCCGGGGGTTTTGGACCGCAACTCCCACCATTCCTCACAGCCAGGCATGGGCCAACTTGGGCCCTCCCTCCGGGGGTTTTGGACCGCAACTCCCACCATTCCTCACAGCCAGGCATGGGCCAACTTGGGCCCTCCCTCCGGGGGTTTTGGACTGCAACTCCCACCATTCCTCACAGCCAGGCATGGGCCAACTTGGGCCCTCCCTCCGGGGGTTTTGGACTGCAACTCCCACCATTCCTCACAGCCAGGCATGGGCCAACTTGGGCCCTCCCTCCGGGGGTTTTGGACTGCAACTCCCACCATTCCTCACAGCCAGGCATGGGCCAACTTGGGCTCTCCCTCCGGGGGTTTTGGACTGCAACTCCCACCATTCCTAACAGCCAGGCATGGGCCAACTTGGGCTCTCCCTCCGGGGGTGAGACCCAAGTTGGCCCATGCCTGATCCAATAGCTCTGGTCAGCTGGAAGTCCTCACCTCTGCCTCCGTCGCGGCCCCACCGGCCTCTCTCCCTGCCGCCCCTGCGGGGCTCCATGGCGAGCTTTCCTTCCTTCCTTCCTTCCTTCCTTCCTTCCTTCCTTCCTTCCTTCCTTCGGAGAAGCGGATAACGGGGGCCAAGCCAAGAGAGAGACAGACAAGGGCAGACTCAAGGACCCGCTTCCGCTTCTGCTTCTGCTTCTGCTTCTGCTTCTGCTTCTGCTTCTGCTTCTGCTTCTGCTGCTTCTGCCCCACCTTCTGCCTCTGAGCCCAAAAGTTTCGTTTCTCCAGAGCCGGGCGTCAGAGAGATTTCGGTTTCCATTTCCCCGCCACAGCCTCCGCCCCAAAGAAAGAAGGGGGAAGCCAGGGAAAGAGGCGCGGGTGGAGGGGTGAGTGGGGGGTTTCCCGGCTCTGCCCTGCCCTAGAGCCCAGGATCTGGTCCCAGATGACACTATGCGACAGGATAGGGTGACAGCCTGTGCTGGACAGGGTTCCACTCCCCCTGAAGACGCAGGTTCACAGCTTGGGTGTGATCTTGGACTCTTCGCTGAGCCTGGAACCCCGGGTCTCAGCGGTGGCCCGGAGAGCTTTTGCGCAATTAAAACTTGTGCACCAGTTTTTGCGCAATTAAAACTTGTGCACCTACAAGAGAGGAGATTCCATCTGAACATTAGGAAGAACTTCCTGACTGTGAGAGCCGTTCAGCAGTGGAACTCTCTGCCCCGGAGTGTGGTGGAGGCTCCTTCTTTGGAAGCTTTTAAGCAGAGGCTGAGTGGCCATCTGTCAGGGGTGATTTGAATGCAATTCCTGCTTCTTGGCAGGGGGTTGGACTGGATGGCCCATGAGGTCTCTTCCAACTCTTTGATTCTATGATTCTATGAGGTTAATGAAATTAAGGCCCCATCCAGACACTGGTCCACGCTCTTGTTACATCCCGGATAGATTACTGCAACGCACTCTACGTGGGGTTGCCTTTGAAGACTGTTCGGAAACTTCAACTAGTCCAGCGGGCGGCAGCCAGATTACTCACAGCGACATACAGGGAGCACACCACCCCCCTGCTGTGTCAGCTCCACTGGCTGCCAGTTCAATTCCGAGCACAATTCAAGGTGTTGGTTTTGACCTACAAAACCCTATACCAATGATGGGCAACCTTTTGAGTTTGGTGTGTCAATACTCACCAAAAAACCGAGCATAACTCGAGTAGGGTGTCACTTCGAGAGAAAACCCATAATTTCATGATATTTATAGTTTAATAAAAATATATTATATTTATAATTTCATGATATAACAAAAATATATTATTGTAATATATAACTGTATTTAATAAACCAAAAACTAATTAGGTTCTTGTGGGTTTTTTCCGGGCTATAGAGCCATGTTCTAGAGGCATTCTCTCCTGACGTTTCGCCTGCATCTATGGCAAGCATCCTCAGAGGTAGTGAGGTCTGTTGGAAGTAGGAAAATGGGTTTATATATCTGTGGAAAGACCAGGGTGGACAAAGAACTCTTGTCTGCTGGAGCTAGATGAGGTTTCACTAGGTTCTTGTGGGTTTTTCCGGGCTATAGGGCCATGTTCTAGAGGCATTTCTCCTGACGTTTCGCCTGCATCTATGGCAAGCATCCTCAGAGGTAGTGAGGTCTGTTGGAATTAGGACAATGGGTTTGTATATCTGTGGAATGACCAGGGTGGGACAAGGAACTCTTGTCTGTTGGAGCTAGGTGTGAATGGGTTGTTATAGGTTTTTTCGGGCTATATGGCCATGTTCTAGAGGCATTCTCTCCTGACGTTTCGCCTGCATCTATGGCAAGCATCCTCAGAGGTAGTGAGGTCTGTTGGAACTAGGAAATGGGTTTATATATCTGTGGAATGACCAGGGTGGACAAAGGACTCTTGTCTGTTGGAGCTAGGTGTGAATGTTTCAACTGACCACCTTCATTAGCATTTGAAGGCCTGGCAGTGCCTGGGAAAATCTTTTGTTGAGAGGTGTTAAGATGTGCCTGGTTGTTTCCTCTCTGCTGTTGTGCTGTTGTAATTTTAGAGTTTTTTAATACTGGTAGCCAGATTTTGTTCATTTTCATGGTTCCTCCTTTCTGTTGAAATTGTCCACATGCTTCTTGTGGATTTCAATGGCTTCTCTGTGTAGTCTGACATGGTGGTTGTTGGAGTGGTCCAGCATTTCTGTGTTCTCAAATAATATGCTGTGTCCAGGCTGGTTCCTCAGGTGCTCTGCTATGGCTGACTTCTCTGGTTGAAGTAGTCTGCAGTGCCTTTCATGTTCCTGGATTCTTGTTTGGGCAATGCTGCGTTTGGTGGTCCCTATGTAGACTTGTCCACAGCTGCATGGTACAATTTCTCCTGACGTTTCGCCTGCATCTATGGCAAGCATCCTCAGAGGCAGTGAGGTCTGTTGGAAATGCATCAAGGAACATGAAAGGCACTGCAGACTACTTCAACCAGAGAAGTCAGCCATAGCAGAGCACCTGATGAACCAGCCTGGACACAGCATATTATTTGAGAGATTTTCCCAGGCTCAGGCAGGCCTTCAAATGCTAATGAAGGTGATCAGTTAAAACATTCACACCTAACTGCAGCAGGGAAGAGCTCCTTGCCCCACCCCAGCCATTCCACAGATATATAAACCCATTGTCCTATTTCCAACAGACCTCACTACCTCTGAGGATGCTTGCCATAGATGCAGGCGAAACGTCAGGAGAAATGCCTCTAGAACATGGCCCTATAGCCCGAAAAAACCCACAAGAACCTAGTGATTCCAGCCATGAAAGCCTTCGACAATACAAAAACTAATTATTTAACTTACCTGCTTTTTCTATAATGCCATATATCTCAGCATTATAGAAAAATGCTGGTGTAGGAGCCGAGGATGAAATGTCCTTCTTGGGATGCAGCCCCATCTTCTCTGTATGCGGCCGCATGCGGCTGTGTGTCATCGAAAATGGCTACGCGTGTCAGTGCTGACACACGTGTCATAGGTTCACCATAAAGCCCTATACGGTTCTGGTCCAGTGTATCTGTCCGAATGTATCTCCCTCTACGTCCCACCCCGGAATTTGAGATCATCTGGGGGGGCCCTGCTCTCGACCCCACCGCTATCCCAAGTGAGGCTGGTGGGTACGAGGAGCAGGGCCTTCTCAGTGGCCCAGAAAAGGTTCTGCTTCCTTGGAGACTAGGATGCGGAAGAATGGCTTCAAACTACAAGAGAGGAGGTTCCATCTGAACATGAGGAAGAACTTCCTGACTGTGAGAGCCGTTCAGCAGTGGAACTCTCTGCCCCGGAGGGAGTGTGGTGGAGGCTCCTTCTTTGGAAGCTTTGAAACAGGGGCTGGATGGGTTGTTGTAGGTTTTTCCGGGCTATATGGCCATGTTCTAGAGGCATTTTCTCCTGACGTTTCGCCTGCATCTATGGCAAGCATCCTCAGAGGTAGTGAGGGCTGTTGGAAAAGGGGTGAGTTGAATGCAATATTCCTGCTTCTTGGCAGAATGGGGTTGGACTGGATGATGGCCCAGGAGGTTCTTTGATTCTAGGATTCTATGATTCAGTCAGGAAAAGGACACAAAGTATCAGACTGGAGAGGTTAAAGTTACAATTTGATTTGCCTTTATTGGGGGATTGGTTACAAAGAGAGGGAGAGGGGTAAAAGGAGAGGAAGGAGAGAGCATATGGCTGCGAAGAGTCCCTGGTTGAGGCTGCTGCTGGGGCACATTTCATCAGTCTTAGCCCAGCCTGGCGTCCCGGAACTGCGGAACTCCCTGCAGCAGGTCAGATTAACTTGAAAGCAGGGGAGTGGAGTTCACCTACATCCAGAGAGCACTGTGGACTCAAACAATCATGGATCTGGACCAAACTTGGCATGAATACTCAATATGCCAAAATGTGAACACTGGTAGAGTTTGGGGAAAATAGATCTTGATATTTGGGAGTTGTCGTTGCTGGGATTTATAGTTCACCTACAATCAAAGAGCATTCTGAACCCCACCAATGATAGAATTGCACCAAACCTTCCCACACAGAATCACCATGACCAACAGAAAATACTGTGTTTTCTGATGGTCTTTGGTGACCCCTCTGACACCCCTTCGCGACCCCCCCAGGGGTCCCGACCCCCAGGTTGAAAACACTGTTCTAGAGGCATTCTCTCCTGACGTTTCACCTGCATCTCTGGCAAGCATCCTCACAGGTAGTGAGGTCTGTTGGAACTAGGAAAAAGGGGTTTATATATCTGTGGAATGACCAGGGTGGGACAAAGGACTCTTGTCTGTTGGAGCTAGGCGTGAATGTTTCAACTGACCACGTAGAATCATAGAATCCTAGAATCAAAGAGTTGGAAGAGACCTCATGGGCCATCCAGTCCAACCCCATTTCGCCAAGAAGCAGGAATATTGCATTCAAATCACCCCTGACAGATGGCCATCTAGCCTCTGTTTAAAAGTTTCCAAAGAAGGAGCCTCCACCACACTCCGGGGCAGAGAGTTCCACTGCTGAACGGCTCTCACAGTCAGGAAGTTCTTCCTCATGTTCAGATGGAATCTCCTCTCTTGTAGTTTGAAGCCATTGTTCCATGTCCTAGTCTCCAGGGAAGCGGAAAACAAGCTTGCTCCCTCCTCCCTGTGGCTTCCTCTCACATATTTATACATGGCTATCATGTCTCCTCTCAGCCTTCTCTTCTTCAGGCTAAACATGCCCAGCTCCTTAAGCCGCTCCTCATAGGGCTTGTTCTCCAGACCCTTGATCATTTTAGTCGCCCTCTCTGGACACATTCCAGCTTGTCAATATCTCTCTTGAATTGTGGTGCCCAGAATTGGACACAATATTCCAGGTGTGGTCTAACCAAGGCAGAATAGAGCATGGGGAGCATGACTTCCCTAGATCTAGACACTATGCTCCTCTTGATGCAGGACAAAATCCCATTGGCTTTTTTGCCGCCACATCACATTCCTGGCTCATGTTTAACTTGTTGTCCACGAGGACTCCAAGATCTTTTTCACACGTACTGCTCTCGAGCCAGGCATGTCCCCCATTCTGTATCTTTGCATTTCGTTTTTCCTGCCAAAGTGGAGTATCTTGCATTTGTCACTGTTGAACTTCATTTTGTTAGTTTTGGCCCATCCTCTCTCTAATCTGTCAAGATCGTTTTGAATCCTGCTCCTGTCCTCTGGAGTCTTGGCTCTCCCTCCCATTTGGTGTCGTCTGCAAACTTGATGATCCTGCCTTCTAGCCCTTCATCTAAGTCATTAATAAAGATCCTGAACAGGACCGGGCCCAGGATTGAACCCTGCTGATGGCACTCCGCTCGTCACTTCTTTCCAGGATGAAG